TCTCTCTCTCTCTCTCTCTCTCTCTCTCTCTCTCTCTCTCTCTGTGTGTGTGTGTGTGTGTGTGTGTCTTGTGGCGCAGACTGCCGACCTTTCCCCTTCTCGGTCTTGAGTCTTGACCACGGTCCCCAAGCTGGTGCTTGCGCGTGGTGTGGCCCTGCAACAGGCCACTGTGGCATTTCTGCTTATCTGTCAGACTGTCACCCCCACGGAATAGAAAGGGGCCACTTGGGCGGGAAGTCTGTGACCAGCAGTGCCAGCACTACCTTTCACAGGCAAAAGCACAAAGTTGCAAGTTGAGCCTCATCCGAAAAATCGGGGGCGTGGGGCAGCTTGGCGTCCGATGCATGAAAACAAAGAAAATGAATGTAAAAAGAAAGAAAGAAGGAAAGAACTGCCTCCCAATCAAAGATGTAGGGGTACTTCACAGAATGTTATCTTACCAATATTAGGGTCTCCTTTGACACTCCTAAAAGTGCCAGTTTTTAGGATTGCATCTTCTTTGCACACAGTCCTAAAACGAAATCGGAGATCGAAATTGTGAAAACGGCGTTAGGACGAGTCCTAAAAGATTTAGGATTCCCCAGGCAAAATCGTCCTTAATTTTTCAGTAGCCCCCGACCTACTGAAAAATTTGGGATTCCCGCGTTTCACGCACTCGTCGCGTCGCGTGCATGGCACCGTCCACATGGGGTTGCTGGTCCAGGAGCGGTCCGTCGGGTCCTTGGTCGGACATCGGAGGTTTTGCGCGGGTCGACGGCGGCAACGGCCGGGAACGGTAGCCGTTGGCCGACGGGGTGGAGCGCGGAGGGCCGAGCGTGGGCCGGTGGGCGCCTGTAGTGGACCGTTGGGTCGCTTGCGAGATGCGGAGTGGGACGTCGACGTGCGCAGGACGACAGACGGAGTCGCTTCGGGCAGTGCGGGCGGCAACGGTCGATTTTCAAAAGGAAGGCAAGCATGTTTGTCGTCTTCTGTGCTGGTTGTCGGCATATGAAGGTCGAGCGCCCCTGTCCCAGGCATGTCGGAACACACATCTGCAGTGGTCACGTGCGAGTGCGGCTGCAGAGGTGAAATTTCATGGCTAACGTGCAGAGGAGATTGCCTCGCTGATACTCGCTGTCGTCGTCTTCCTGATTATCATCTTCCTCCACGTGTGTTTGTCGTGGCGGCCGTGGAAACAACAACGCAAGAGGAGGGCTTCGACAAGACGGGCGGCAGGGGAACGTCTAATGGCGGGCATGCAGGCACGAGCAGCAACTGCTGCAGGTCAGGGAGGAGTTCGAACTTCGGCGGCGGAGCCTCCAAGGCGGTACGACCCATCCATGTACACCCATCTAGAGTCGTGGGAGACGCCATTGCCCCCGTCGGACGAGGAGCCGGAGAAGGAAGAACTTTCAATGTTGCCTCTCGCCAGCGGCTCGACTGAGTTGTGGTCGCAGACGGTGCGAGCAGGCGGGTCGGCTGCCGACGAAGGGGGCGAGTTCACGTCACTAATGCATCAAGGCCTGCGGGACGACGACGGCGGATGAGTTGATCTGAGGTTCGGGTTGTGTTCTGGCGGAGGCAGGGAGGCGAGCCGTATGTTCATCATCAACGGAGATCGTTCGGCACGTGGCCTTGAACATGGTGGAAGTCTGCATACGGAGCAGTCCACACTTCGTCGCGCTGCACCCGTGACTGGCGCGGTCACGCCATCGCTAGCAGGACGACAGCATGGATCGACTGCTCCGTCCGTCGAGCGATTGACACCGACCTGGCCCACACGCACTGGGGTCGCATCAGGGCCCCTGCGCATGGGCGGTGCACGTTCGCCGATGCCTGCGTGCACAACACCGATCGAATCCGAATTGAGGGACGAGAGAACGTGCAGAGCGCCGGTACGTTCACGACCCACTGTGGAGAACATAACCCGTGGAGTGTCCAACATGCGGGCGCACAGCGATGGCGGCGAAGACGACGGTGGATTCGGTGACGATGCAGACGAAGGGATGAGGGAGGACGTGGAGGCGGGGGACGACGACGACAACGTTCCTATTCGGCCTTTGGGGAAGATGGGTGGGAGGGGGAAAGGACGCGGCAGAGGTGGTGTCCGTGGTCGATCCGTTGCTTGTGGAAGCAGAGGTGGCGTGAGCGACGACGCCGGGAAGTCTTCGACGTACTGGTCTGCAGAAGACCAAATGCTCCTGGTGCGATGCAAGCGGGAGCAAGATATGCACCTCGCCGGCTTGTCTCACAATTACGGGCAGATGAAGACGAAAGAGTGGAAGTGGGACGACATGTCGAAGCGGATGGCGAATGCGGGGAGGCCGCAGGACGTTGACGACTGCATGAAGAAGTGGGACAATCTGTTCCAGAACTACAAGAAAGTTCAGAGGTTTCAGAATGCCAGCGGCCAAGCAGATTTTTTCAGGCTGACGAACGAAGAGAGGAAGGAGCACAACTTCAAGTTCCGGATGGACAGGGCGCTGTACAGCGAGATCCACGCAGGCATGGTGGGGAACCACATGATTTTCCCTCCCAACGTTGCCGACACCGGCAGTCCGGAGGGGGTGCAGCTGCACAGGCGAGGAGCGGGTGGCCGGGAGTCTGTTTGTAGTGAGGCGGCAGGTGAAGGCTGCCCTGGAGAACGTTCATCTGCAAGGGAGTCCGACAACAACGCAGTCAGCGGGGCGGGAGGCGGGAGGCGGGAGGCGGGAAGTGGAAGAACGCGCGTCAGCAGGCATTGGATTCCATGGCTGATGTCATGGACCGCCATGGCGCACTGATGTCGTCGACGATCGAATCGTCTAGCAAGCGGCAATGCAGCATCTTCACGAGGCAATGCGACATATTGGAGCTGGAAGTTGCCGTCCAAAAAGCGCACTATGCGGCGTCCGATGAGACGCAGAGGATGATGTGCCACACGCTGTTGGAGATCGCTGCCGCCATCCGTGGTCGGTCGTCCATGGAGGCCGTTAGGTGCTGTGTTGATCAAAGTTGGTTCTTTGCCGTCGTAATTGAGTGGGTTTTTTTTTTTTGGTTGTGAATTTCATGATGTTGCCATTGCCGGTATTCATGGACGGCTGCCGCGGAAGCGATGCCATGTAGTCGACGGAGAATTGGGGGCGGCGAGCGGGTGAGGTTCCGTGGGGAGTTGGCGGGAAAGGGTGGTCGGAACCTGCAGGGATGACGAGAGGGGGGAGGTGTGTTTGTGTGTGTGTGTGTGTGTGTGTGTGTGTGTGTGTGTGTATGTGTGTGTGTGTGTGTGTGTGTGTGTGTGTGTGTGTTTGGTTTGTTTTTTTGGGGGTAGTCAGCGTTTTCGACGACCACGCATCGTCTACGTTTTGGTTGGTCAACAAACACACAGCCACTGCTGAAAGGGGGTGTGTTGTATGGGGATTGTGGACAGCGTGGTCTGCAGTGGAACCGGGTTGTGGGGGGGGGGGAATGTTGTGGGGGGGCCAGGGGAAGGGCATAGAGAAAGGGGGTATGGGGGTTGTGGAGAGGTCATTGGCTGCGAGGGGTACGCGCGATGGGGTGTCCACAGGTGAAGGCGGGCCGCCTTTGTTTTGGTCCTTCGGGAGTGCATTCACGCGCGTCGAGCGAACGTGGAAGGGCCTTTTCGCGACTTGGGGAGATTCATAACGACACGCCAGGACAGGCATGGCGGTCGCACGTGTCGCCGTCGTCGTTCCATTTTCCCTCCACACGGATGCGACGTCGTGGACGGCCCATCTGCTACTTTCATCCCAGTGAAGCGCATCCGGAGCCGCATAAATGTCGTCCGCACGAGGGTGAGTCCATCACCGACGCCCGCCGCGCCAGCTGCACACTTCCCGCCTATGTTGCACGCTGGCCGCGGCCGGCCCAGGCCGCGGCCGGCGGCCTAGGCTGGGACCCCCCCGGCCACGGCCGAACGCGGCCGGATATTTTGAACGACGCCGCGGCCGATCAAGGAGGGGGTTTGGGGGGGGGGGAACAGGTTTCGAGTCTCGGGGGGTCCCCCTACCTCCTCGCAAAAAAAAAAACATAAAAACTTCAAAAACGGGGGGGTGGATTTCGAAGACTATAAAAAAAAAATTAAATAAATAGAATTATTTTTTTTTCATTGATTGACTGTTTTTTATTTATTGATTGATTGATTGATTGATTGATTGGTTGATTGATTGATTGATTGATTGATTGGTTAGTGGGGGAGGGGATCTCCCTCCACTCCACGGGGCGCGCACCTCTCTCTCTCTCTCTCTCTCTCTCTCTCTCTCTCTCTCTCTCTCTCTCTCTCTCTC